TAAAACACGCATACACCATCTTGTTCAATGGTTTCAGGCACAGACGAAAGCCTCCCTTTCAAAGTTACTTGGTTGATCAAAATATATATTTGTTACACTGATGAAAATAGTTGATAAATATGTCAGAACTTATGGATGTTCAGCTCAATAATACACATGGGTTTGTCTGACAATAACTTATCCCCAACCATCAATCAAGGTTGAGCGCATCATCATTTTCCATATCAAATAGCGAATTAAATGGGTTTGTACTGCATTTTCACACTACCCTCTGGTAAACTAACATAGCTATAGAAAATCACCATTTTTAATGGGAAAATCCACTATAAATGGTGATTTTCCATAGCTATACTGGTGATGCCCCATTTTTGATGCTGAAATCCCCATAGGTCCAGCCCATCGCGAAAAAGCTGGGAAAAAACGAGTGACAAGTCGTCGGTCACTAGGGCCGGGCCATTGGCCAAGGGTTGAATGAAACACGCCCCCTTGAGCAGAACCAACGGTTGCCGATTGGAAAAACTTAGAAACTTAGATGACCATCCAGCTGGTCAGCATGGATAGCAGATCTCACAGATCTCCCCCTAAATAAGATAATTTCACGTACTGTGGGTAAGTCAGGTCACTGCCTAATTTTCCTCTCCCGCGAATCCAATTCACAAATGGGATGTTCTTCCCTTCCGATGTTGATTCCCAGACACAGGTGGGTCTGGAATTAGGGAATCAAACCAAACTTATGGCATGAACACCGTCTGGTGCCAGATAGGAAAACCCAAGCAAAATACTATGGACAGTACAAAAAGAATATGACGTCAGGCCCCCTCCACCTGGCAACTGTTGGACCTCGGGTTCCGGCATTTTCTTTTGGGCTGATCTTGTTTCCTTATTTGATTGGTTTTAATCATTTTTGAAGGAAAACCCCCAAAATGGCAAGACCCAACCTCCAACATACAAAAAAATATAATTGGTTCCAATTCTGACATCTGGATGGTCTCTAGAAAACATACAAACAAATATAAATAAACTCAAAAAATTTCATTGGCTGCTGTGAGCTGCCCGTGTGTCTTTTGTTGGCCAAGGGAGGCAATAGAAAATGAGGGGGGCCAACCCATTTTCGAATTATCCATGTTCAGTTTCATATGCTGCATAGCGTCCAAGTGATTCTAAATCTCTGGGAGGTTTCACAAAATGATCACACCGTTCACAGCTGTGCATCTTTGCTATCATGCTATCTCTGTCAGTTAACTTGATGGGTTGGGCACCTCAAAAAAAAAATGCACCCACAAAAAAATGATGGGGCCTGACCCCATTTTATTTTCAGATTTGCTTGATTTTTTATTTTTTAAGGGGTTCCTGACCCCTCATTCTCTTTAGGTACACCAGAGCAGGATTGGCATGTTTAATTGAAAAATGATGATAAATATTGATAAATCATTGGATTTAGGGGTACCCCATGTTCAAACAAACTCACTGAAGCAATTCTCAACATTTTCCTTGATGCAAAGACGCCTCGAAGATTCACTTTGTATACAACTGTGCAACTGCAGCATGAAATGAATGCACAACTGTCGTTTGACATCATGCAAGACATGTGCAGCTATATGACAACTGGAGGGAAGGATGCAGAAACACGTAAATTCTGTTCACCCCGCCTCAGTTTCGAATTGCTATATGAAGAAACTGCTAAATGAGTCAATGGCTGTCTGCTAAGCCATACTGCAAAAGGGCTAACTCAAATGCAAATTCCTATAAACTCTGCTCAAAAACTCTCTCAGTCTCAGCCATCTCAAAAGTCGGTTAGCTGGTCTCCAAAGTCTTTCAAGGTTTTCTGCGTGCCACACGCTATGATTGCATCACCACTAGACATTGTAGCGCAAGCCACGCACTTCAACCAGAAGGCCTTCGATCTCCTCCATGGCAATCACATCGTTGCGGGCTTCAGCTTCATTCCATTCTGAAAGCAAACGGCGCTCTCTAGCAGTGAGCACTCCATTGGTTTCCACCATAGCGCGATGCAATGCATCCTCATTGTCCAAGGGATCGTCCTGAGAAGGGCCAGACGATGGTGAATCCTCTCCATGATTGTAGTGCATCCATAACTCAGGATCAGATACCTCACACATTTCTGAGTTCTTGTAACGGGCCTCGATCTCAGAAGGTGATTCTTCTGGGATCTCCTCTTCTTCGCTCTCTTCATGAGCTTCACTTTCTTCGGCTTCCTGAATCCCAGTTACAGCACTTTTCACTCGTTTCAGAACCTTCAAAACCTTTCTGAGGTTTCTGTTCACCATGAGACGCCTGTATTCATCCTTCATCACATCAAATTGCGTCCCAAGGTAAAAGGAGACTCCAGCAACCAGACAGATGACTGTCATGTAAATCCCGAAGGTTGTAACAAAGCCATTGCCACCGTCCCATGAAGCTAAGCTCATTGCTTCACAAGGAATACCCAAGGCGCCAAGTAAAAGAACTCGCATGATTGACTTAGCCGCACCAGTTTTCAAACCATTGTTTCTAACCAACTTGATTCCTTCTGTCATGGCTTCTGTTTGGTGGACCTTGTCAACCGTTTCCTGTCCAACATATGCTGACTGTGATAAACCATACACCTTGCAAAGGTTCATGAGATACCGCATTCTGTCTCTATTGAGTCTTTGGTCCCAAGGTCTGCGGTGTTGTCTCGTGTTGTCACTGTTGAAGGGGCAACCAAACCAAGTTTGACTTCACGTTGTAAACAAAGAATTCTCACACTAATATGTCTGATCCGCCCAACGCCTGAGCGAAAGAGAAAAAGGCCTTGGCAGCAGAGTTGTCCAAGTTCAGCGTAAACTCCACCTTGATGCCATCATCCAACAAAAATTGGATGCAGGCTTGCATCAGTTTTCCATCACAACATGCTGAAACACCTGCATAAATTTCTGCTTCGGCTGAAGACAGTGCTATCTTTTTCTGGGTCCTCGAGCTGGAGTACAAGAGGCTAACAAAGAGACATATATGACCTGAAGAAACGCTCTTGCGGGTACTTCTGTGTTTTGCCCAATCTGGGTCTGAATAAACTTCCATGGTGTACTCAGTTGGAGTGTAGTGCAACAGTCCTTGGTGGTCACTGTAGGTCATCACAGTGCAGTGGTCGATGCAACCCAAAAGGTACAGGCAAAGGTGGCGCAGGCATAGGAAGGCCTGCACAGTTGGTTTTGACATCACTTGTGCAAGTCCTCTGATTGCGTACTGACACTCGACAAAGTCACTGGCAATGTAGAGAAGGATGCCAATGCATGACCTAAAGATTTTGGCCTTGTCTGGGGCCAACTCATCTGTCTCATCCGGCTCGTCCAACAGCTGGCGGACTGGCACTTGCTTGGGCTTCAGGCCTCTGTTCATTTTCATCATCTCTACCAGCTTTTCCAAATGCTTGGGATGGCTTTGAATAGCCAACTCACGTTCACTCAAAAGCATGTGCCTCCTTTTCAAGAAGGTCAACTCATCTCCAGGCTTCTCAAGTACCTCCGAAGAAATTTTGTATCTCTTTCTCAACGCAGGTTCCAACACATTGCGCAAGTAGTCACGGTGTGCAAGACATAAAACATCATCAACATGAAGTAGAAGAGCACACTCAGCATTGGGCGATTTCAACAAGCATGGGTACGGCTCACACTCACGGATCTTCAGCTCGGTCTGCAAGAATCTGCTAAAAGACTCATGCCACATCTGAGAGCCATTCCGCTGTCCCGGTAGAACACTTCCCAAAACGTACGTGGTTGAAGCACCTGCGGCATCAACACAAACAACTTCTGTCAACTCCTTTTGCTCCACAGTGAGGAAGGCATCACCAATGTCGATTGAGCACAGCACGTAGCCCGTAGGCTTCCACTTCATGTAAAGACACGGCAGCAACCTAACAGTCCAAATTGACTGAAGAAGCTGGAGTGAAAAGATCTTGACGATCTGGAGATAGCCATGCAAATTCTCGTGCCACATACCTTGATCTCCTAACCC